CCCTACCTACGCACGGACGGAGGAGAACCTCCCTCCCTCTTTTCCCTCTTTTCCCTCTTTTCCCTCTTTTCCCTCGCCCCTCGCCCCTCGCCCCTCGCCCTCCCCCCCCCCCACCCCTCGTTGCCCCCTGCCTGCCTGCCCTTCCCTACCCCCCTACCCCCCTACCCCCACCCCTCACCCCCCACCACCCCACTTAAAAACTGCCGGCATCCGTCGTCCCAACGTACCGATACTTCGACGGATTCCGTATCTGATCCGTAGATACCTTAGCTAGCAGGCCCCTCCACCCGGATCCTGATCGAGATCGAGATCGAGATGGATCGAGTACCGCGGATGGTGATGGGGATGGTGATGGGGATGGTGATGGCGATGGGGATGGGGATCCCGTAGTCCCTACCTATGCCGCCCGAACCAAACACACTGGAACCCTCTACACGCTTGGTCAAGTGTCGCGGGAAAATTATACATTGCTCCAATACTAATCAAAGGAGAGAGCAGACTATCCATCTGCTCTAGATGTGAGCCTTGTTACGTAGAGACAGAAATAGAGGGGAGAAACCTCCCCCCCCGAAAACGACCGAGATGGCATCGCAGAGGACGGGTATCAACCAAAAGTGACATAGTACAGATGACTCCGCCAGTAACGAACGACATGGCTCCTCCAGGTATGCTCGCTCCTCCACGCAATGCAGTATCAAATCTCCATCTCTATCCGCTCCGCTCGCTGTGCACCGTTGCGCTCCGCTCCCGATGTTCTGTCGGATCGGCTTTGCGGTTTATTTTGTTCCTTCGTATTTGGGCGGGGGATCGCAGACACCCCACCGTTCCGTAATTCTCTCCCCCCCCCCCCTCCGCCTGTATCTCAGAACTCACCTCACTCGCTTCCCATCCACCCACCGCCTCTGCTGCCCCTTGTAATACTCCATCCGCTCCCTTTCCAGGCCCAGCCTCTTCTCCTCGAACGCCGCCTTCTCCTCTTCGCTCAGACTGAACGCCTTCTTCAGCCATCCCAGCGCGCTCCTCTTCTTCTTCACCTTCTTCCGCTGCCCGTCCGCACCCACCTCCGTCATCATCGTGGTGTCGCTCATGATGCTCATGCCCATCGCACTCGGGGCGCCTCGCCGGCTCCCGAGCACGCTGGGCGTCTGCGAGTCGTGGTATTCGCGGTAGGAGGAGAGGTTCGAGGTGGAGGACCTCGAGGGCACGTGCAGCGGGTTGTTCGAAGGGCCGGCCGTCCATGGTCGTTGGAGGGGCGAGTGAGGGGATGCTTGGACGCGGAAGTATTGCTGGTCGGAGCGCGGAGACGGGATCAGGGTGGCCGAGTGCGGCTGGACGGTGGATGGGGAGGTGTCGATGGTGCTGGGGCTTCCGGGTGACTGGTGGCAGCGTGCCGGGGCGAGGGCGAATTGGTTGTCCACGTCGGAAAAGTACGCCGAATCCAGGCCGCACGAGGGCGGCGCGGTGGTTGGATCCTGCTGCTCTTTGGCTTGGGAGTTGACAGGAGAATCATGTCTCGGGCCGAGCGCGGGCGCTGACCCGTCCCGTTCCCGGAGCTCGGCAGCAGCCCGCTGTCGCCCCCGGAGGACAGGGACGGAACCCTGCCGGGGGATGGCCGCTGGACTCAGTCTCTCTCGAGGGACGATTATCGAACTTTCCTCGTGTGGTATCGTGACGGAATCTTGCCGCATGAGAGACCCAGCAGCGGAGGATTGTACTCGTTGCCGCGGCCCCCATTGTGTATTCAATGGTGCCAATTGCGGAGGGGGAGGTTTCACGGTTATCTCCGGCGGCGATTCCTTGCGCTTGGTTAACGAGAATCGCTGCCGTAGCGAGTTCCTGGGGAGGATCTCTGGAGGGGGAGAGGGAGGAGCTTCTGGAGCAGCTTTCGGCCGAGGAGAAGGCTGTGGTGAGGGGACGGGGGTGTATCTCGTTGGCTCCAGAGTGACGAGGGTATACGTCGTCGGCTCGAGTGTGTAGGGGGTGAATGTCGCGGGGTCGAGGGTCAAGGGGGTATATGTGGTTGGCTGAAGTGTAAATATATGCTCGGGCTCTTCTTCTTCTTCTTCCTCCTCGCCCTGAGAAGAGGACCGGCGGGAGTCGGGCTCTGGGGTTCGCTCGCCGTCTTGCACCGTTTGAAGTGCGGGCGTGGTGGCCCGGCTCGCTGGGGTAGCGAGACTTGAATCGGGGGGAAGGTCCTTGTGGACCGGCTGCCGCATCATCCACTTCGATCCAGGGGAGGCGGGTGGGGAGGCCATGGGCGCCGGTTCGGGAGAGGCACTGGTGCTGAACTGCATCTTGTTAGCCGCCCTCTCGGAACCGCGGCGGATGGGAAGGGGATGTATGGACCTACCCTTATATTCCGGCTGACCTCGCCGGCCCTACGGTCCATCTCGGACACGATGGAACCAAGTTGCACGAGAGTGACACCCAGACGGTTTCCCTTGGCCTGAAGGGACACACAGGCTGAGAACCAGCCTTCCACGTTTCCCTTCATGGCAGTGAACACCTTTTGCATATCGGGCCTACTCTTGAACCACACCGCGTTCTCCTGCTCCCGAGCCATATAGATCGTAAACTCCCTGCACGCATCCAGGCCTTGCTGCACATCCTTCAAGGCATCGTTCATGGCCCGGCCCGTCCTCGTAATGACGTGTTCGATGCGTTCGTTGCCATTGACAATCTGCAGTCTGAAATTCCGGTCCTCGAGCATGGCATCGAAGATGGCAATGTTCTCCAGCGGCAGCTTCAGAAACTTCAAGCGCTCCTCGATATCCTCGTGTGCCAGGTCAAAGTCCTCCAGGGTGGTCTCCAAGAACTCGTCCACCTCGTCAACATGGCCCTGCAGGATATTCATGACCTGCCCATCGTCCTTGGCGATACCGTTCATCAGCAGGTAGACACCGAAGGAGATCTGGGCTATCAACTTCCACAGCTCGTGGTACTTCTGGCCCGGCTTCAGCTTCCACCGGGCGGCCGCGTGCGTCTCCTCGTTGGCCTCCTGATCGATCAGCAACTTCCGTCTGGCGGCTGCATCTCCCATTCGATGCTTGGGTGAGGGCGGGGCGGAGGCCTCCGCCGACTCGATCATGGACTCGGAAAAGGCTGCTTGCATCGACCGGATGGGGTGCCGGGGAATCTGCAAGCCCTTCATGGCGTCCCTTTGCGGCGTCGACGCACCGCTGCTGCTGCTGCTGCTAGAAGTCGAGGTGGCAAAGGTGAAGAAGCTGTCGTCCTCGAGGTCGAAGAGTATGGGGAGAAAATCTTCATCGTCTACGGGTGATGGAGAGATGGGGTGGGATGGGAAAGAAGACATCGACGGTTGTGCTCAGGCACCACCTGCTTTGGCTGCTTGCAGTGTACCCTGGCCCAGCCTTGTTCGATTGAACTCAAGTCCCAAGTACCCCTTGCCCTGGTGGGGTGCGCTGGGGTGACTAGGTTGACGGCCAAGCCTGCACTGGTCGATAGCTGATGCTGGCAACGGGGGGAGTTGCCTCCTTGGAAGGGGGTTGGCGTTTTGGGTTTTGAGTTTGAGTTTGGAGGAGGAGGAGGAGGAGGAGGAAGAGGAGGAAGAGGAGGAGGAGGAGGAGGAGGAGGAGGAGGTGGAGGTGGAGGTGGTGGTGGAGGTGGAGGTGGAGTTCGTGTCGAGGAATACGGAGGAAGTCAGTCGTACAACTGGTAGAACGAAGTCTAAGTCGAGGTTAAAGAAGAGACCTCTTGACAAATGATGTACCGGAGCAGGGTGATCTGGTCGAGTCGAGTCGAGTTGAGTTGGAGAGAACTGAGTTCAGGGGTTTGAGGAGAGTGGGTTTTGGGGGGAGTTGAGTTTGGCGCGCGGTGAGGTAAAGGTGAGGGGATATACGGAGTCGAGTCGAGTACCGGTAGAGGAGGAGGAACAGGCTGTCTGAGCGAAGTGTCGCGAGGGAAGTAGACGGAGAAAGAAGACGGAGAAGAAGACGGAGAAGTACCAGTAGACGGAGAAACAGACGAGGTATTACGTATCTATGAGGATTGTTATTGTTAGCCCAGCCCAGCCCGGCCCTCGGCCAGCTAGTCCCAACGCCAGCCTTGTCTGCGCTAGTGGCGGCCCCGTGATCAGGGTAGCAGATAGTGGTAGTGGTAGTGGTGGTGGTAGTGGTGGTGGTAGTGGTAGTGGTAGTGGTAGTGGTAGTGGTAGTGGTAGTGGTAGTAGTAGTGATGGTGGTAGTAGTAGTAGTAGTAGTCGTAGTAGTAGTAGTAGTAGTAGTACTAGTTGTAGAGTAGTAGGAGTAGTAGTTGTGGTGGCTGTAGTGTACCCAACTACTCACTTTCGACGTACTACCTACTGTACTCAGTTAGGTAGCCTGGTCCAGACTGGACAAGAATAGAGAAGCGGCAAAACAAGAAAAGGAGCGGCGGCATCAGGCACGTGGATGCAAATCAGGGGGGCCTTCCCCTTCAAGCTTAGCCCCTGCTGTAGGGAGTCGAAGGGCGAACAGGACACCAGACGGAAGCCGGAAGCCGGAGACGGAGAATCGGAGTGGCAGCCTCCACCCAGCGCTGGATAAAGCAGCAGGCTATGCCTATACGGGTCATTAGCTTTTGACCAGGGGCCGTGGCACTGCAGCTTAGGGAATCGGAGGATGAATCGGTCTTGTTCTCCGTTACTTCTGGTAAATCCTTGTTGTAAATACCCCATATATAGTAGTAGTAGTACGTAGTACGTAGTAGTACCGGTACCGGTAGTAGAAGTAGTAGTAGTAGTAGTAGTAGTAGTACTACGTACATACCAATACATGCTACCACCACCCACAGTCAATTAGTCAGCCAGTCAGTCAGTCAGCCAGCCAGTCAGTCAGTCAGTCCGCACATTTTACCTAATGGTCCGGCCCCCGACCACGACAAGAGAGATGATCTGGATTTGCCGTCCAATATTCCAATACTGAGCAATAAACTAGTACCACTACAACACTTCGTATCTCCGGATCGATGAAATGTCTCTCCCTCCCAAATGCGTATAATGCCTATAATGCCTATAATCCCTACAATGCCTACAACACCTACAACACCTACCCCTGCATCTCTACCCGGACCTGAGACGCGGGGAGGGGAAAGCCCCATACCCGGTGGAACCCTATCGGAGCCTTTTTCTTCTAGAATCACAGATGTACCGTCGTAGTCGTCGTCGTAGTAGTAGTAGTGGGCAGTGGTAGTAGCAGTAGTACGGAACGTGGCCGTTGCTCTCTCTCTCCATCGAACCGTCGGATCTCTTCCTTTCCTTTCTTTCCTCTCCACTCCTCTCCTCCCCTCTCCTCTCCTCTCCTCTCCTCTCCTCTCCTCTCCTCTCCTCTCGCAAGCCCGGCTGAAGAAATGCCGACGTCCAGCAAGGGATCACGCAGAGCAAAGTACCGGTCCGTGGTTGCGACAGGCGAAAAAGAGCGTGTGTGTTGTGTGTTGTGGGTTGTGTGTGGTGTGTTGGGGCCTGCGACCGTGGGAGAACTTGGACCGCGGGCAGGCCGTGCTCGTCCGTCCACCGCGTCCGTGCCTGGCGGTGGAAACTCTCCAGGCCGACAAACGGGTGGAGATACGGTCTTCTGAGGAATCCGTATTCGACGTAGTACGACTGACTCCCCGTTATCCGGTACGGTACGGTACGGTACGGTACGGTACGGTACGGTACGGGTATGGAAGACAGTGCCGATCGATCGAACAGCTAGTAGTACGTAGTACTACGTAAGGTAAGTACCGGAACTTGGGAACACATACGTAGTACGTACTAGTACAAGTACCTAGTAGGTACGTACGTAGTAGTACGTAGTTCCTACCTACCTAGGAACCTAGTACCTAGTCCCCGGCCCAGAACCAGAGGAGCCCTTCCTCGATCGAAACCTCGACTGGTACTGGTATAACATGTCCGCACCCCGCTTTTCTTGATTCCGAGATACTGTACTATTATTGTACGGTTCGTAGTAAGTAGTAAATATAGTAGTATATACGGAATCTCCCTTCAAACTTAGGTGACGTACTCCGTACAACTACCGCTAAGTCGTAGTCGTAGTAGTAGTACGTAGTATATATAGTACGTAGTACGTAGTACTTAGGGATACGGAACAAAAGCCTAATCTTAATCTTATCTCCTTTTCCCTCCACCAAAAGGGGGCTAGAGCTCTACGAGCTTGCGTGCCTCCTTTTCACCCTCCCGTTCTCGAGCAAAGAAGAGCACTCGGGCTGATGTTGACTTTTCTGGAAGGATAGGGGTCGGAGGAATACCTCCATCTGTATAGGTAGGTACGTAGTATGTCAAACTACTACTATTTCTGTATGAATGTATGCATGCGTGTATGTAATAGCAGGCATGTAATAGTATGTGTGTAATATTATGTGTGTGATAGCATGTGTGTAATCGCATGTATGTAATAGCATGTACTAGGTACCTATATGTATGCATGTATGTATGTACTACGTAAGGTATGTATGATGTACCGTATGTACGGAATGGGTGAGATCACGGGACCGAAAGGTCAAGATCAAGATCAAGATCAAGATCAAGCATGACTTGACTTCTGCGTCGTCTCGACTACGGAGTAGGGAAACCTCATACAGTATGGGTGGATGGCCGGATCACACCGCCGACTCTCTCCAGTGCTTGATTCCCTTAAGCATAGGACTTTTCCTCCGACGAGTACCGCTAATCACATGATTTACAGTTGGGGGGAAAGTAAGAACTAGGTAGGTAGGTATTCATGGCCATCGATACACTCGGATTGTAGCAGTGGGTAGATACGTAGATACCGACCTACAACTACCTTATCTACCGGTACTACCATGACCTTCTCGTCGTGGCCATGTGGGGGGATCCAACCTCAAACCGGCTGGCTTGGTCCCGGTCCAGGCCGTTTAGGGCCAGGGGGAGACCCATCCAGACTATGTAGACTAGAGACTATCCAGACTATCGAGACTATCGAGACTATCGAGACTATCGAGACTATCCAGACTATACAGTAGAGACTATCCACACTATCCACACTATCCACACTATCCACACTATCCACACTATGTAGACTATCTAGATTATCCAGACTATCCAGACTATCTAAACTATCCAGATTATCCAGACTATATAATAGAGACTATCTAGATTATCCAGACTATTCATACTATCCACACTATCCAGATCATCCAGACTACCCATACTATCCATACTATCTAGACTATCCACACTATCCAAACTTTCCACACTATCTAGACTATCCACACTATCCAAACTTTCCACACTATCTAGACTACCCAGACTACCCAGACCACCCAGACTACCCAGACTATCCATCCATCTATCCATCTAGGTACCGCCCGAGATATTTATTCATCCCATCTACCCATCCACCCACATTTTCCGCTGATTTCTTCCCACACTCCTCTCCGACTCTTCGTTTCTTCCCCCAACCACAACCCCAACCCCAACCATAGCGGTAACAACTTCGAGATAACATCTCCAATCCATCTCTATTTAAGCCGCGTGGAATGCCGCCCGGATCCCCGACCGCGCCAACCGCAGCGCGTCCCCCTCCACACACTTAATCTGTCAAGCTTTTCGCTCCGAAAGCTAAACTCTCGAACGAGCGAATAAGTTGAATATATCGAAAGTCTGCATATGCGCCCAGCGCCATGCCGATATCCAAGATATTCAATCGGGTGAAGTCTTGGTTTTCGACCGCGCGCGGGGATACCAGCCATCGCTTCGAGACGTCCTGGATCCTGTCGCCGGGGCTTCTGTTCGCCATCCGGGCTGCCATTGTAAGTCTCTCGAGACGCGCTCCCCTCATCCCGACCGGCCGGTGACCTTTCGGCTCACGAGCTCAGTCTCTCTACGCGTTCAGCGTAGTTTTCTTTATCATCGGCTGGGAACTCGCGGGCCGGAGTTCCCTCTCCGTCCACGATGTCAATAAATCCTTTTCCTTCTTCACGGGTACGTTGTCTCTCCCTCTCAACCTCCCCGTCGAATACCGGTACCTCTCCTCTCCAGCACTGAGCCCCTCACCGTCCTCTGCTACTGGGGCCTCTGCTTCTACTTCCTCGTCGCCGCCATCCACACCGCATCCTACGCCACCACCAATGGCGGCACGCCCTTCCTGAACCGCATGTCCCGGCCCCTCCAAGCTCTCCACTCCCTCTTCTACACCACCATCACCACCTACCCGTTTCTCGTCACCATCGTCTACTGGGCCCTCATCTACGGCCCCGACCACCCCTACACCAATGCCTTCTCCCTCTGGTCCAACATCTCTCAACACGGCCTCAACTCCGCATTCGCCCTCTTTGAAATCCTCCTCACGCGCACCGCGCCCCCGCCGTGGATCCACTTCCCCTGGCTCGTCGTGATTCTGCTCTGCTACCTCGGCGTCGCCTACATCACCTACGCCACGAAGCACTACTTCGTCTACAGATTCCTGAATTTCAAGCCGGCGCAGCACGTCACGCTCCCCGGTGGTGGCACCGAGAACATCGGCGGCGTGGGCGCGGCTGCCGTCGTGGCTTACGGCATCGGCATCGCGGTCGCCATCCTGGTCATCTTCTGTGCGAGCAGGATGCTGATCCAGCTGCGCCTGTGGGTGACGGAGACGAAGATGGGGAAGCGGGGCGTCTTCTGCGTCGGGAGGGGCCAGCCGGGTGGGGACGTGGAGCTGGAGACGTCGCGGCCGTGGGAGGCTGACAAGCCGTAGAGAGAGAGAGAGAGAGAGAGAGAACCGAGCAATATGCGCATGATGTTCTTGAAAGGTAAAAGTACAAAGAGGGATCGAAATCTCGGAGCGGGATCTAATCGATTTCTCGTCGATCTGGCTGCTGACCGTATAGCCGACACGCATGTGCCAAATAATTCCTCACCATAAATAAAAGATCATACCTAAGACCATGTTCAACTCTGCTCTCAGCGAGAAGAACCCCCCACCCACGTCGCAGCGTTCCGCTTTCCGCCACGCTCTAGGTACCGGTATCTACATAGCAGGTAAAGACAACAGCCATCTATCTATCCGTTCCACACTTTCTCTTTCTCTCTCTCTTTTTCACACACACATACACACCCTTAAATGGAACCTCTCCTCTCTCCCCCATCCTCCATCCTCTCTCCTCCCTCCCCTCCCCGATCACGCGCCACCCATCCCTCCCTCTCTCTCTTCTCAGTGAAAAGCCTTCGTTCACCATAAGTCCAACTCTGCACCCTCACAGCCTTCAGCCTTCAGCCTTCAGCCTTCAGCCTTGGAAGTGAACGACCGCTTCTTATGCCCACCCTGTTAGACCCTCTTCGAGCGTAGCGTCTGACACGTAAAACTCCCAATGGCTTCCGAACGGGTCGGATGGCGCTGCGATGACTTGTGGGGGGTAAGGAAAGGAGGCGGGGGAAGGGGGCGGTGAGGGGGGGAGGGGGAGAGAGGGGGAGAGGGGGGGAAAGGTGGTTGGTGATGATGATGATGATGATGATGATGATGATGATGATGACGAGGGTTGAGAATGAGAATGGGAATGGGTGTGGATATGGCAATGCCTGCTGCTATTTCCAATCTTGGCTGTCATTTTTACTTCTTCTTCTTCTTCTTCTTCTTCTTCTTCTTCTTCTTCTTCT